TGATTTTGTACTATATTTTTCTCCACAATAATTTTCTTCTTTCAGTTAATATGTATAATGAAATCCTATGAAAATTATAATCAAGTAACAAGACATAATCAATATTGTTCACATGTCATAATACAGATTTTAGCCCAGTTTATTTTAAACCATAGTAAATTTATCCTACCAATACAAATAGTGTGTTTTATAGTTACAGATTTTCCTAAATAATTTTACTTTTCAACCAGATCCCAACAATTCCTTCTTTGCACAATCCCAAACATGGGACATGAATATTATAAACACATACTCATCAAGAACTGATGGCCCCAAAGGGACAAGAAGGTCTAAAAAAGCAGACAGAAATTTTTTAAAAAAAATTATACCCCCAGTCAGAAATACTTTGCTTTGACACTTTCTTCCAAAACTGCATGAGAGAAACTTTCATTCCATGTGATAGAGGCAAGAAAAAAATCCCTCAACCATCAGAGAAAGCACTGGGACAGTAATTATCAAACGGAGCAGTTATTGTGTTTTTTTCATCCTTTATACATGTGATTATATGTATTTAGGGCTTTCGCCTGATCTTCACTGCCATGCATTTATCATTTTCAGCTTTAGCCAGAAAAAGTATACGTTTAGTTAGGTTATTAACTTTTCTTACTGACGTCTACTTTTTTTTTTTTTCAGGCTGATATGCAACAGAAGAAAGAACCCGTTCAGGACGACTCCGATCTGGATCGCAAACGACGAGAGACGGAGGCTTTGCTGCAAAGCATTGGTATATCGCCAGAGCCACCTCTAGGTACTTAAAAGTGCTTCATGTCATTATTCCTTAAATTGGACTCATGTGGGATATACCATGTCCAGTGTTTACTATTCTTTTGTCTTTAGCTTTATTATTTTTTATTTTTTTAAGACATTCTGTGGCTTACGATTCAAGTTGCATGTACATTGGGAATTGAGGGGGCTGGAAGGAGATGGGAGGAAAGGTTGTAGAGTCATTAGCATTTTGCTGCTCGTTGACTGCTTAGATGGTCAACCTTCTCCACTGTGTTACTAGTGGATTATTTTATACTTGTTAAATGAGTTGCCACTTGGTCAATGCAGGAAATCTTGGAATTTCTTATTAAACGGTTCTTCATTTCCGTTGCTAAATCCCAACCTCTCTTTGCCAATCTAAATACTGTAAATCTGGTTATGAATTTCATAACCATTATAGGCATAGAGTTATTCCATAATGAAAATAGAATGCTCAGTGGGAAATTTGAAGGCAAACTTCAAAAGGTGGCAGATTAGCAACTAGTTAACAAGTTTAAATTTATTTGACTCTATTGTATATCTTGACTTCATTGCTAATTGGCATTTTCACTGCACACCCTCCTCCAACTCATTCATTCCTAGTTATTGTCCATGACCTCATTTTATCACTAAAGCTTGAATGTTGAACTATTTGTTTTCTTTGTGTTGAAGGTAACTTGTGCATATTGTGTTTATTTTGTCACTTACTTATAAATCTCTCATGTAATAATTTGCTTTATTTTTCTTTTATCCTTTTGTTTTCCATACATTTAAGAGTAATCCTAGGGTGTCTGTAAAACTACATGATATCCAATATAGTAAAAAAACCCGTTTTCAATAATACATAGAAATAAATACAGTATTGAGTCTCCTGTTTAAATGGTTTGTCTCCTTTTAATTCCATCATTGGCTTTTATATTAAAAGAAATTTTTATT